TGTGATAGCATTGTGTGAAGGAAATTGAGAGAACAGGCCTGTGAGCTGAGCCTAGGCTGGATGTTGAAGTTCGTTGAGACTTGGAGGGATGCAATACGTGGAATGGATATTGTGTTGCTGGAGTTCGGAGTGGGTATAGAATTCATGGAGGTACTACTACGTGTAATGAAATGTCTTCACAGGAGGAATATTTGGTGGGGTTCTTGACAAGGCATTCCAAGGCTAGTCTAGTTTCTGAGTGTGGCAAGGAAGAACTCCAAACAGCAACTGCACCCACCGGAAGGCAAACAATGATGTTTGCAAACAGTGTAAAACGAAGTGAACAGCCAACAAATCGACTTGAAACCTTCGGGCTGGTGTGTTGGCGAAATACAAATTGTAAGACAGAGGAGAGCGGATGTAGCCGGCTAATGGCAATGTAGTGAAGCTGAATATACTGGGAAGGCACGAATCGACATGAGATGAGTGGAATGAGGGTGCCAAGTGTGAGGGTGTCGTTTTGATGCCCTTCACGCAGAGAAATGTGCTCACGGATTGTAGCAAGTAATTGAGTGCGACGTGGTCGCGTTACGTATTCCTTCATAAGTCGTCTATGTCGTGAATGTGGCGAGGGTGGGCAGTGTGACGCGCGAATGCGTTGGCAGCCTGGTTTAGGTCATCACGACGATTTTCCTTGCACATCAGGTGACTATCATCAGCCTTACCGCAATGTCCGGCAGCAACAGTATGAAGAAGCGCCGTCGCACGGAGGACGTGAGGGCGGACGTGCTTTTGACAGAGATGCTTGGCGTCACGAGCTTAATCGACCACCACCAGCACGGCGGAATGCGCCAGTTGTATCTCAAGCGCTTCGTCAGAGACCTCGATACAGCAGCCCTCCTCATCCTTCTCATCCTCCTGCACGAACGCCACCAGGTCGTTATGAAAGGTCGTCATTTGGCGGACGTGGTGTTAGGGGTGGCCCTGGTTTTGGCGGTGGTGGTCAGCAGTCACCGCCGTTCCGAAATGCGAGGGGATCAGCTCGGCAATTCAGAGACGGACCAATGCAGAGGCCTGTGCTGCGTAGATAACTTTCTCGAACGTTGTTGGTTTTTCACAATACATGCATCTAAAGAATGTGGCTGCGCTTATAGAAGACATTGGGGTAAAAGGTTCGGCGCATTGGACGTTTTCGGATGCCCAAACATGGCCATTTGTTTGTCGCCATTAATGCGGTGCTATGGTTCATGCAGCCTCGGCTTTGACGATGGTGTCAATATCATTTGGTTTGTAGGTGAAATGTTCATTTGAGTAGAACAAGTCCTCTGGCAAAGGCATGATGAAGGTTACCTTAGTCGTGTAAGAAACAGAGGTAAAGGGAGTGGTCTGTGCATGACTTATCCTATTTTGAGGATGCGTGGCAGTTCTACATGATGTTGACTTGTCTACAGTCTAACTTGTGAGTACTTAGGCAAAGTATGACTATGCTGAGACATTTAGTTGGATACGTGTTCCAGTGTTGACGATGAATGCTGCCTAATAATAGCTCAACTCGACTGTGCACGTTGACTGGCTGGTATCTGTTACCGTCACCTCATTGGGTGAGAGGTCTTTCTTCAAATTCGATTGGAGTCAATTTACCCATTTACATATTCGTCGACAGTCAACTTGAGCACAATGGAACTGGACATTGTTGTCGAGATTGATCTTCAGAACCCATTAACACACAAATCAGTGTGAACTGTCCTTACCAGGTTGGTCCTCGACAACTGTACACGATAAAGAGGACATTTATATTTGCCAATCGTTGATCGCAAAATGATTTTGCTGTGATTTTGGAAATCTGTAGGGGCTTAAGTTTGTGTTTCTCGGGCTTGCTGAAACGGGATGGTGTCAATTCTCAAGAAAACATCCGGGTTCACAAAAAAGTACGTTGCATGATGTTGCATGATTAGTGGGGATCCGTCTTCGTTTGTGCCTTCGCTGCGGTGGTTAATCAGGTGGGTTTAGAGGTAAATCTACGTGAAAGTGTTATTGTAACATTCTCAGGTGGCGTTCGTATTTTTGCAGTTTACCGATGTCTTGATGTGAGGACGTTGAGGTAGCTGGTATCTCTTGAAGGAATGACTCCGCAAAGGCCTGTAGAACCGGTTGGCCGCTCAAGTAGTCCGTTCCTTTCCTTCACTCCAGACTAGCCAAGGGGGCGGTGTCGTTGTTTCGATATACATATCGTACGTCTCACATTGATTATTAACGATGATGGTGATGATGAATTAAGCTGATAGGGACATTTGATTTCCTAGTGACATTGATTCAGCTCTGAGAGTTTATGTTTGTAGGAGGGGTTTTATGGCCACTGACGTCGGTGTCTTTATTTCAGGCATTTCGCTCAATCAATGATGTGGAAAACCTAATCGTTAAGGGAGTGCGCCTGTTGAGTGTTTGATAGTCAATCGGTGGTGTGCTCGAGACTCGATGACATCGGGGGCGATTTGTTCACGGTCGATTTGGAAGACTGGACTGGAATCTCCGCTGGCATTGTTCTCTAGTTCCCACAATATTGACTGATAATGGACGAAGTTTGTTGTGCGATATTGTGAAAATGGAATTTTGTGGGATGTGAAAATCCACAGCATAGATGTTTTTGCTGTGGCTTTATGGGGTTCCGGTAAGGTAACTGTTGCCGTATCACTTGCAGCATTGTATTGTCATGTGTCATTTACTTGTCTGCAGGACTTCACTATGCAGAATGCCTCTGAATGTGATTTATCCGGCTACATGAAGTCACGGATAAACGTAATGCGGAACCAACTCTGCTGTTTGATCATGCGGGTTGTATGAATCGAGTGAATACTTGGGCGGCGTGTGTCGGTGATTTCATTCACACCTACTACGTGATCCACGGATTATCATATGGGCAAGCCTACAGTGCATG